GGCTTTTAAGCTACTGTGAAGAGCAGAACATTTAAATTTGTTTACCAAGAGAGGAAAACCAATGGCTTGTCGGTATATATATATACAGAATATATGGCGCTTTGTAACCACTGAAGCGATTTACGGCCGAGTTCCTCCTCTTGCAGTTTGTGGTTTTGCGTCTTGATGTTTTTCCAGCAAATGGAGGGACCCGCGACTTATACTAATCCACCTCCGTATGACTGATGGTTTTTTATGAGTAGTTTTATATCATGTTCCCAGGGGCGACCGCATTTAGAAAAATTAACTTTACTATTTATTTAAATTAATTTTCTATAGCTTTAGGTTTAAACCCGGGCTCTCTGAATGGCAATACGCAAAACTAGCCACTCGGCAATCGCGGCCGTTTCTTTATGTTTATTTCATGTCAGATATATACTTGGAGGGATTGACACTCTGTGCCGAGAGGTAATCACAATTAGACAATTTTTTTTTTAGGAAAATTTTTGATTTTGTTTTGGCTACGGCTTGCACTCGTTACCCTACGTAAGGTAGTACACACCACAAATTACTCAGTCATTGAGACCTCCTCCACTTTACGATTGACTTGGTGTGTTCTAAATTTTCTGCTTTGCCACTTGGTTGGATCTAACGCCCCTCCCGCTAATTAAACCAATGTGTGGAGCTAACAAAACTAAGTTGTCGCCGCATCTTAGCCCCCCCTATCTCGCTCAGGTATTCAAAGATTGTCGCCCGGGAATACTTCAAACTAGAGACTTCACCGAAGTGCGGAGCATTTGTAGAGAAAGTAAAATCTTTTTGTCAGCAACTTCAGATTTGAATATGTCAGATTGAATATGTAATGCAAAAAGACTTTTTCTTTTTAGCTTTATATGATCACGTGAAAAAGAAAAGGTTCTTTGTCGAACTGTTTATATTTTCCTGGTCACATTGCACGTATTCTCCAACTTAAGTTAGCATCTTAAAGAAATAATTTCCTTCTATTGGGCTAACAAGTGGAGAGCTGCATACCCAAACTCCATTATGGCGAAAGTAGGTGGGAAGTGCCCTTCTTTGCAAGCTTGTCCGCCATCACATTGCCCAATATGTTACTCAGTCTAGGCGTTCATACCATGTTCAAAGAATACTACTAAGGCATGACTTTAAGTGATTTATTGCAATATTCTACGGTTTTGGATTTTACAGGGTTTATAGGGTCCATAGCGATACTCAAGTAATGTAAAGGTGAGCCTGTACCAAACTGAAACAAGACTGCAGCATACTCAAGCAGAAACCTAAACCCAGAGCATACTTGCTTTATAGAGGAAAAACTTTCAGCCCGCTAACAGTTAAAGTGCAATACAAGAAATGGTAAATCCGAGACCCAAATCGATGATGACGGAAAATACTACCTGACGATTGGGATGGAAGAGCACAGTGCCCAATCCATAAAAAGGGGACCTCAAAAAACCACGCAATAAGCCGTAAGACTCGTATCTTAAATATCGCATACAAGGTCTTATCGAGCGTATTGTGTGAAACACTAAAGTCCACGGTCAATATCCTGATTGGACATTATTAGCCGCTTATCTGAGCTTGTATGGCTATATAAACTGACACTGGACTACATCGGAAGCGCAGTCAGAATTAGTGATTCCTTATCACGAGCCTTCTTTAATTTATTGCTGGTGCAAATTATACGAGCTGCAGTGCTGAATATACAATGTACAATCTTCTCTTTTGACAATCGCAACTATGAGGTCGTAGATAATTTTGTCTATCGAATATCGTTTAACGACCACCAACAACAACATCAGCATTGAAATCCAACAGAGAATAACTTTTGCCGACTGGTGTCACTTTGAACTGAATATGCGATTGAAAAGTATAGTCCTTTCACGACAAACAAAAGATATATTCCACAAAACTCTCATCATTCCTGTCCTAATAAATGGTACGGAGGCGTGGACGATGTCAAGATCGGTTGAGTTGAGCTTAGATTATTTGAGAGAAAAGTTTAGCGCACGACTTACAGTGTGTTCTTAATAAAAATGTAGTACCAACCAAATTACCAAACTACTACCTTAAACGATAAATTAAATAAGTTAGATGAGTTTTTAAATCTAATAATCACTAATATTGAAATACATACATTGATATATTTTTCAGATTTTATGGAACGACTTTAGTACTTATTCCTCTAGGATTGGCTCTTCCGGCTCGCTTTACGTATCAACAAATATTTTTTTAGAGTTTTAAATAAATAGGCAACTTTTTAATATTTCATTGCTTATTAAATTAAATGTATTTACTGATACTGATTACGTTCACGATTCATTTCTACTCAGGTTATGCCGGCGAGCATAAACACCAAATGTTCCACTCGAGGTGAATTCAAAATGGAGTTTTTATCAGGGCATCTGATTTCAACTCAACTCGCCTTTATGCTACCGAGTTAACGCTTCTACATACATATGTAGAGAAAATGTGTATAATACGCCCGAGTAGACGCCTGAACTCGTGGTGAAAAAGCGTTTATGTTTGAGAGTTTAGCTAACCCTAGTAGAATAAACCCGAGTAGAAATGAAACATAATCGTGGTATTTGAATATTCTTTGATTGCATACACGGTGTGTCCCAAAAATAACCGAACTTTATATTTAAATCATACAACATCAAGTAAGGCGGATGACAGATGTAAAAGTGACAGCCATTTCAATAAAACCAAAAGTGTGCTAATGGTTCAAAAATAAAATGGAACAAAGAGCAAATATAAAATTTTGTGTCAAAGTTGAAAAAAAATTAATGAAAAAAGTTTATTGTGACGATTGTTTGAGTCGTAGGCAAGTTTTTACGTGACTTACACGATTTAAAAATGGTGGTGAGGATTTAAATGACGACCCTAGACCAGGACGTCCAGAAGCTAGTAATCGTGCTGAACTGGTGGAAAAAGTCCGTGAAATCATTGGTATCGATGCAAATTTTACTACGAGAATGTTGGCTGAGGAATTGAATACGAGTAAAAACACTATTTGGAGAATTTTAATTGAAGATTTGGGGAAAAGAAAGGTCTGTGTGCGATTTGTTCCACATGAATTAAATGACGACCAAAAAATTGCTCGAATTTTTAATGAAAAAAGGGATTTCTCTCATCGACCATCCTCCGCGTTCGCCTGATCTATCCCCATGTGACTATTTTTTATATGGGGCAAGTTAGAGCAACTCGGAGAAAAAAGCTCATGAAGCATTTTTCGGGCCACAATTTTCTAATGGTATTGTTTGACTTTTCTGTTGTAAACAAAATAGAAAAATTTTACGATTTCATAGTAGAATTTAAATTTTTTATCGTCATTTGTATTTAAGTATTTTGATGTGCCCCGCGAAAATCCCTTTCTTAAATTTTGCCCGCTTTCGTTTTCTAAACTCGGCTGTCAAAAAAAATTCGTATTGCTTGCCCCAAGTTACTCTACCAAAAAAGTCAGAGCAGAAAATTGTGATCTGAGCTCCTCTTCTTCTACTTAGAGCAGACTCATGAAACAAGAAGTAGAGCGAATAAGAGCAAAAATGTTTTGATGAAACACATTTTTTTGAAATACAGTAACCTGGCGTAACCTAGAGCAGCTCAATAAACAAACCGATTATGCGACTGATCAAGGGGAGTTTATAGAAGGTGAAGTTATCGCAACATATAATTGATTGCTCTTCCTTGCATTTCAACAAACTACACAAAGAAAATATATGAGAAATAGGTTTTGACAAAACGAACTTTTTATTACACCAACAAAATACATTGAACGAAACTACGATTACACAAACAAAATACAAAAGCTTTTCGTTTTTGTATTTTATAATTACCGTTCGTTAATTCACCTCGGCAACAGATAAAGAAGATAACAAACATTTTCTGTTCTTCTTTAACCTTCCCTAGAAGCTGTTAGACATGAAAAGTTTTTCATTATGGATGATATGATAATATGAGTTGTCGTTTTGGTCACTTTTGTATTCAGAAATGTTTGAAATTTCATTAGCTCTAAATATATGCAAGACCAACGTTTACAAACAACAACAACAAACAACAACAACAACAACAACAACAACAACAACTTGAAAGCGATAGCGATATTTTTAACAAAATCATCTTTTCCGATGAGGGTCACTTTCATCTGATTGATGTGGTAACTAAACTGTCGACAATGGTGCAAAGAAAATCCACAAGTTATACATGAACAACCATTACATTTACCTATATTGACAATTTGGTGTTGGTGTGGTTTTTGATCTGGTGGAATCATCATTCCATACTTCCTGGTAGCAGTATAGATCGGTGATAACCAACTTTTGATGGCCACAATTGGAAGAAAATGATCACAAAAACATTTGGTTCCAACAAGACGGGGCTACATGTCACACAACACGTGCAATAAGCGAATTATTTCCCAGAAGGGTTATGAAATTCGATAATTTCAAGAAATTTTGATTTTGAATGGTTGCCAAGAAGTTGTGATTTAACACCATTAGACTTCTCCTTGTGGGGTTATCTGAAGTCATTGATATTTATCAATAAACCAAACAATCTTCTCCCATGAATATATGTATAATAAGTCCATGTATTCACAGCTAATACTGGAAAGCAAACCCGTTAAGCGGCGTCTGTACAGCATCGACAAGTGTTTGATTAGTTGAAGAGCAGTTTCAAGCTGCATTGAAAATCGCAATGCAAGCATACACACTCATGCATATGTACGTACATATACACATATGAGCGAGAACATGCTTAAAGCGCACAAGTCCTTTAGTGACGGCGCGATAAATTGAGGCGATAATTGATGTCTGGCAATTAGAAACTTATTAAACTTTACCGTGAATTCATTGCGGTGCAGCAGACTGAAAAATTACTTATAGTTGCTATTTTCAAGCTCTTTTACATATACACATTGGCTTTGAAAATCTATATTAAGCTAATACAGATAAATAAATAATCTTTTAGTTATTAAAGCTTTGTATTTTGTTCTTCCTTTTTAGTTGCACGCTCTCCGTCGCCTTATGCAAGGCAGTCCAGATCATCCTAAAGCTCCACTTGGCAATAACTATAGGCCACCGCAACCGCTGCTGCATCGACCCATTCGCACTAATATCGATTTTAAAACTTCAAAAGCCTATGGCAAAGCTGCGTGTCCCACCATGTACCGCGAAGTGTATTATAAAGGTAAGATTATTGTATTGGTAAAGGAATTAATTTTCAATCTTTGATAGAGGATTTTGTTTCATTGAAAAAAATTGATACAATGGTGACTCTTAAATATACCGGACTCCCAAAGCAAAGCCCCGGTTTGAATATCATTAAAGTGCTAGAACTACCACAGGTATGCGTGACTATACACGCAGACCCATAAAGCTCAATATGTTGTTTGACAACTGGTCATCACAGCCAGAGCCATTCCTGATCTTTTCTTCCAGTCTCTCCTTTGTTTCAACAAACGTGTGGTGACCAGGCCATTGAAACACTCAAAATCTATCGGACTTGACTATGTATGACAGCTGATGTATATATATAGCGGGAACCAACACTCTCAATATATCTCTGTCAACCCCAAAAATACCCCACTTGTGGCGGTTGGGTAGAGTATCCCTATCCATTCAAACCACGAAAAATTGCCCTGAGGAAGAATCATATCTCTTTCTAGGTGCGAAGATACTTAAGGTCTTACTGTTCGAGTTTTTCGCACAACACCTAACTGCAGTACCACACCAACATGACTTACTCGAAATTCTAAGTCCCACCACTACACCAAACGTCACTAAAAAACTAGGGGTTTCAACGAAAAATGTGAGAACTGTTGTGTAAGCATTGGATTTGTTAAAAGGTTTTGACACAGTCAATCAAGCAGAGCTATTAATGAATATTGCAGATTCATATCAACAGTCGTCAGTATAATTTCGAGCTCCAAGCTTGGAAAAATGAAGCAATTGGTTCCATAGAGTGACGTCCTCTTCCGGCTATTGTTTAACTTCTACATTTCCAAGACCCTTTACACTGGAGAGCGGTTTCTTCTGATCTCATAAGTGACGAATCTTGGTTCCATAAGTACGATCCAGGAACCAAACAGCAGTCAATGGTATGGAGCCCAACAGGAGCAAACCCAACCGTAAAATCTAAGCAACAAAAATCAGCAACAAAAGTAATGATATCAGCTCACTTCACCCGATCTAAAATCTTAACTGTTATTCTACTGGAAAAGGGCCAGGCGGTAACTGCAAAAAAATACATCAAAGGGTGCTTACCAAAAGTTTTAAAAAATTTATTGGAAAAAAGGTAGAAAGACGATTTTCGGCGCTACTTTTTACATCATCCCACACTGCTGAAATAAACGATCTCGGGGACCGAAGATACACCATATTCCCCGGATATAGGAAAGTTGAATGGAAAGGTATTTAATAGCAACGAATAGATGATTAATGTGGTTAATGCTGAACTTGCATACAAAAGTCTTTTTTTCCGTTTTCTTCTGGTCAACTTACCGAACATTTGTTGTTCCCCTCGTTAATTGCTGACTCTGTTCCAAATAACTCTACTGTTATCAACCTCTACACCTACCCCTACTTTCAAGTTCACTAAATACTCACCTATATAACACTCTCATTAGATGACCTATACGACATCGACTAACTTTGCTTGCCCTTCAACAATGAAAGTCTGCCATTGAAGATGGTTAATATTTTCATCATTTAGAAATCAATTCCAGCTCAAATAAATATTTACTAACAATGCTCTATTAATCATAATCTAAAATTTCACAAGCCACCCATACATACGTGTATGTATGTATGAGTTTAGCAAATATATTTGATATATCTAAGCGCTTGTCTTCCATTTCATTTCCATTTCCGATAGCCACAAGTTGGAGACAACATTGAGGCGTAACTTGGCAATAAATTACAGCATCAGCAGCAATCAAAGCCAATAGCAGTTGCAACTCCAGCATCCATATGTAAATACAAAATATACATATTATTGCACACATATAGACACATACATATGTACGTAAGTACACGTAAATCGGCGTGCAACAGGAGCTTCCATAAATTTAAATATAAATTTATATTAGAATTGTAATTTCGTGCGATAGAGTTTACATTGTATTATTGACAAAATATGTATTTATATTGCTAAGGGTACACATACACATACATATAATTATATAGTAGTGGTGTTAAAATAAAATATGAATACATACACGTATATTATATAATATGTAGGGGAATAACAAAACTAGTAAATAAAACAAAAGTGCATATAAATGCATCTGTATGCGGCAGTTATTGTATGTATTATGGAACTAGAATAAACTATATTATGCATAGTCTGCAAATAGAGAACCGAATAATATATATATATATATATATAATGTATTTAAAAACAGAGGGCTAATTCATATATGGATATTATTGTAAATATTCTATTTTTGTGCATAGCAATTATTTTTGCAACAAGGCCCACTGAAATCATAACCAATTAGTATTTATATATCACAACGCATATATTATTATATAAAAATAATATAAATACATATAATTAAGCAACAAATCAAATACTGTAAATATTTTCGCAACACAACTTTCACACTTCTAAAAAAGGTGCCCAAAAGCCATTATTATTTTCAATCGATTTTTTATGCTTAAAAATATTTTCCATGAACTTTTGCCGACAGAAACTGTGTGTTCTTCTTCTTTGTCATTGGCATAAACACCGCTTAAACGATCGTAGCCGCATTAACAATTGCCAGATATTTAAACCTTCTATTCGCTGTTTGGCGGCAGTTAAAAAATTGGAAATACCAATTGAAAATAGGTCACTCTCCACCTCATTTTTCCAACGGCGAAGATACCTGCTTCTTGCTCTGCTTCTAGCAGCGGGTTATGCATGAAATACAATCAAAGATTATATTTTTTTCAACATCAGAGGCCTAGCAATAAGTAATTAAATCTTATATGTACACACAATTGGCGCCTTGTAACCGCTGAAGCGATTATTCGGACGAGCTCCTCCTCCAATTTGTGGTTTTGTGTCTTGATGTTTTCCCAACAATATGGAGAGACCTACAGTTTATATTAAGCCGCCTCCGAACGACTGATGGTTTTTTACGAGGAGATTTTATTTCATGTCCGGAATACACTCGGAAGGTTGGACATTCCCTGCCGAGGAGCGACCGTATGTAGAAAATTTAACTTAATTTTTTATTTAAATTAATTTTCCATAACTTTTAGATGTTGGTGGCACCGCGATATGAACCCGAGCCTTCCGAGTGTCAGTAAGCAATGCTAACCACTAGGCTACCGCAGCCACCAAATCTTAAGCTAAATTAAAACATAAAGCCCATTAGTAAGATTGAGATGCTGGCTTGACGTTGCTCTTTAGAAGGCTGATTTGTGAAAGATGTAGCGCTTTAATCCATTCGCTGAACTATGTCAGTGGCATCGTATAACCCGTACGGTTATCGTTCCATCGTCTGATGTATTCTCCGTTGTTAACTCGTTCCCAAAACTTTTCTCTCGAAGTTTTCGAGGCTAACTCAACGGATGTTGTCCATGCTTCTTCACTAAATATTATGACGATAACACAAAGTGACTTGTAGAGTTTGGTTTTCATTCGTCGAGAGCGGATTTCACTTTTCAATTGCCGACTCATTACACAACTGCATCTGTTGGCAAGGGTGTTTCCGCGTTGTATTTCAAAGGCTGACGATATTATTTTATTCCCTCGACCTCGACGTTACGACGTACGTTATGACTGTCAACAGTGATGTGGGATCCAAGTCTCGAATGCGTTGATTATTTGTTTGATGATAAATGTTTTCAATCACTAGAACACCCATAAGCTTCACCTCTTTATCAAGTCTAATGAAAGAAGAACCAACGGGTGGACTATGATATAGTATCATCGCCATACACCAGCAGTTGTATATTCTTGTAAAATATTGTGCATTGCCTTTTACGCTCTGCAACTCTTATTTTTTTCTCCAACATCAAATTAAGAAATCTCACGACAAAGAGTCACTCTGCCTGAAAACTCGTTTAGAACAAGACATGTTGGCTTACATAGCCGTATAAGGTTTTCAGGAATATTTTATATATTATATACAATAAAATTTGCGCCTTGTAACCGTTGAAGCGATTTCTCTTTCGCGTCTTGATGTCGGCTATATGATTTAATCCTCCAATTTCAAAGGTTTTCATGGACAATGTTTATATGTAGGTACGAATGTTCAATATCAAATTTTTTTGGATCCTCATTGACTGATCTCTGAAGATAGCTTCATAACTTAATTCACCGGTTGTATGGGGTCTACATGATTTAGTCCTCCCATTTCGGCGATTTTGTTTGACTGTGACTGTGGTGCCTGTGTTTGTTTGTATAAATGTTTATTTTTTGACGGACTTATGATCCAAAGTTTAAAATCTGAAAAATCAGTTCAATAAAAAATCATTTAAATTTAAAAATGTATCTGTACAAAAAGTTTGGTTGAAATAGCTTGATTACTGTGGGACTTGTTTACGTACAAACAGACTGACAAACGCACGGATGGGCAGACGGATATGGCTAAATAGACTCAACTTGTCATTCCGACAAAATCGTTATATATTTTCATGTTCCCACTTCTTCGGCTTCTGGTAGTTAGATACAGGGTGCTCCATCTTTTACGTCGGTATGTAAACGCTGAATAACTTTCACATCTACCAACCGAGCGATTGCATCTGACATGTTTTGGAAATGTCAATTCAGTATAATTTTTGCCAAGGATTGCTTAACACCGAAACAACGCGCTGAAATAGTGACACTTTACATCGAAAACAGTCGTTCCATTGTGTTAACTCAAGGTGCATATTAAGAAAAATGACGCGGACAGAATGACCATCTGACAAATCGCCTGATTTAACACCCCAGTACTTCTTTTTTTGGAGTTATCTGAGAAGCAAGCCTCAAACTATCGATGAGTGCAAGGCAGACATTCGTGCTGAAATCGACGCTTTAACACTCGATATTTTCGGAAAGGTAATGGCAAATGCAGAAAAAAGGAGTCGTTTTATAATTGATTGATATTGTTTTCAAAAACTAGTCCAAAAAATTGTCAGCAAGCAAAATCAATAAAAATACATCACTTATAGAAATCGGTTGCTTTTTCTTAAAGTAATTCAATATTTACATATCGACATAAAAGATAGAGTACTCTGTACTTTGGACGTTATATGTATTAAACCCACCATATTGCAGTAATCCATCAAGTGTTGAAAAAAGTTTAGCTAAACATTAATATAATAACAAAGGTTGGCAGAATTACGGAGACTAAGTTATTATAAATTAATCATTTAATTTAATTAAAATATTTTTTTTAATCAATTTTTTGCCATAAAAGGGATGTTCATAAAAAAAATGCTAAATATTGAAATTACACAAATTTATTATAATGCAATTTGTGTAAATTTAATTGATTTGTTTAATTTTTTTTTTTTTTTTTGAATTGCAGAGCGAAAAATGTCAATTAAAGCAATATTGATGTTTGACAAACTCAATTAGAAATTTTAGTGTTTTATTATGCAAAATCCAATGTTTTATTGCCTTAGAGATGTGAAATAATTTATATACAAATTTAAAAAAAAAAATGTTTTGCCAAAAAAAAAAAAATAACACACAACACTATAATTGAAATACTCCATATTTTACACTGCTGACCTAAACAAAATTTGTTGGAAATGTACATTTTTAATTTATTGAATGAAATCCGTTGAAATTAACAAATATTTACAATGAAGTTGATATAAATTACATCAAATAATTATGCGCCATATTTTCCACGCATTTTGTGACATATTTTCTGACATGCTTTTTACATGCTCATCTGCTCCCATTTTTTATAAACTTAATTTTTGTGCCCTTTTTTTCTTGGCGTTAATTTCGTGATTTGTTTTTGTTTGTACAATTAAGCGTATTTGAGTGTTTATTATGAGTGAAATGGTTATGCGAAAAAAAATATGTTCAGCAATAAAACATGAATTAAAATGATAACCGCATACTGAGCGCGCAAAACCGCAACACCATAGCGAGTTTTATTTACACGTTTACATATTTATTAAATTTTTTTTTTTTACTTTTTACCCAATGAACCATACCATTTGAAAAATGCATAACATTCCAATATTATATAAATTTTTATAAGTGACTTAATTACCTTCCAACACCTGCGAATTACATTTTTTTTATTTTCTGGCAGAAAGAAAACAAAATTTATTTGATTAAGTAGACACCTAAATAAATGTCTGATTGATTTCGAAAAGAAGTAATTTTTATTGTAAACTTCGATTTTTTCAAGTTAAAGTCTTAAAGCTTTTAACAGACTTTGCAACATCGTGTATTGCCGGCCATCAGTTCACTTAGGCCACGAAAGGAGAAAGCAATTTCAGGTTTTGATGAGTTGATTCAGCATCATTGTCCCACTTTTCTATGCATTATAGTCCGCTCATCACAAGTGTGTAAGATTTTGCAATTCACTATTATCGGCAGATGGCCCGCATAAACTTGCAGCTCCTTCGCTTGCTACATGTTTCTCAGCAGTTGTTTCAGCACCAATACCCATAGAAGAGACGAGAGAACTCCACCTCGTGAAGTTCTTCTGTTGACATAACTTATTGCCGACAATACAGCGATCTCAGATCTTAAAATTCTGCATCCAAGCAAAGCACAGACAAATCATGGCAGGTTTTCTGAGAGATTATGATCCACAGTAGACCCAATATGAATCCCCATTAATCGTTCTGCTAGCGTAAGCAGAAAACACGCCAGGTTTATCGACCTGTAATTGTTAGGTTTACTATTAGATACCTTGAGAATAAACACATTTTTCGATTCCTTCCGTAATTTAGGTATTTCGTTTACGCTGAAAACTCCTTTCAATATATGCTGTATGCTATAGCCAGCTGATGCTCATATCCAAGGGTTGATATAATTGGTTAGGTGCAATTTCGTCAGGTCTTAGACTTATGTATGTCTTAGGAGATTTTGTCCTATGGCACTAATTTACAGATTGCTTATTGCGACGCCCATTTGTAAATGTGGGTATTTATGAGAATTTAGAGGCTTTCCTCCGCAGATACCATCCGCCAGACCTTTGCAAGTATCCCGGCACTGAACTCGAGTGCTTA